TGTGCGAGACAGCAATTTCCGGTGTTTACCTATGCCGCCATCTTGGTTTTTTCCTCTTGGTTGGGTTTGATTCCCAGTTACTGGCATGTACCTGGGTTGCAGGTTCAATCCCTGGTCCAGGTTAGAGCACATGCAGGAAACAGCCAATCAATGTGTCTCTTACCTCTCTCTTTCTCCTCCCTCCCTCCCTCCTTCCCTTCCTCCCTCCCTCCCTCTTTCTCTCTTTCTCAAAATCAATGGAAAAAATATCTTTGGGTGAGGATTAGCAACAACATAAAAGATAACATTTTTAACCCACTATGGTCAATACCACTCTATCAATCTCACTTAGAATATCTGTAACTTAAACAACTTTCTACCCTTAGAAATTCATTACTCAAATGGTTTACTTTACAGAGCCAAATATCTTTTCATGAACTTACAATGCCATCTTCTGGCAGTTGCAAAAACTGCAGCTACAACCAGTTTTAAATATGGGCATATACACTTCGCCTCTCCAGGGTGAAACATTTTTAGTCAATTCAATAATAAAACAAAGTACAACAAAACATATTGAAGTTACATATAATTCTTCATAAAGGAGTATAAACACTACTGAGTAAAATAAAATCTTCAGTTTCAGAACTTCAAAATAATATTTGATTGAGAAAAAAAATATCAAGAGAATGTAAAGCCCACAAGAAATCTCCTAAATGAAAAAAAATTGCAAAGAACACTAGGTCCTTGGTTCATTAGGCATATTTCTTGAATCTAAAAAATTTATATCAGAGATTCCAAAATGGCAGCAGAATAAGTGGAAGCTACACAGACACATTCCCAGGACCAAACTGGAATTACAACTAAAATACAGAAAAACCATCCTGAATAATCAACTGAAGACTAGCTGGAGAGAACCCTGATAACGAAGGAAGTGGAGAGCGCATAGAGACTGGTAGAAATGGCGGAGGCGCAAAAGGGCTGGCTAGGCTCCCACAGACAGTAGGTCAAGTTCAAGGGATATCTTAGCTGTGGGGGTTCCCACTGAGAACTCTGGGGTCTAAACCCCAAGCTGGACCCCCCCCCCACCCCCCGCCAGAAGAGAGCACCACCAGAACTGAGAAAGGTGCTCACAAAAAATTTGGCTGTGAAAAGCAGCAGTTTCTGTCTGACAGGTAGGGCCAGCTGAAAATGCAGGCACCCTCTTAAAGGGCCAACACATAAATTTTCGTGTGCAGCCACTCACCCGGGACTCCGGCAGAGGGAAGGGAGAGTGGACTAGAGCTGTGTGAGCAGAAGCAAGGGTTTGGGGCTCCGGGGTTAGACCTCAGAAGACAGACACCCGGGTTTCCTGAGTCACTCCCCCACACTGTGGAGGACATCATTCTCCCAAGGCGGACCTTTGCTATCTAGGCAGGTTTTGCCTGAAGGAAAGGCAATTACCCCACCCTAAGGGAAAACCCATTACCCTACCCTGTGGAGTTTCCAAGGCCCATTAAGAGATTGAGAATAACAGTCTGTAAGCAAAAGCAACTGCCTCATCCTGTTGGAAAACCATCATTCAGAATTGCCTGAAATCTGGCTCAATGGAAATGCTATAACTAGAGAATTTAATAAGCACTTTGAGACTGGTGGAGGGCAGAGGTCCTAAAAGGGCTGGTCTAACACCCACAGGTGGCATGTTTAAAACCGGAAGGGATATCTTGACTGAGGAGGCCTCCGTGAAGAGCAAGGGGTCCCACCCTACACCAGACCCCCAGCCCAGGGTTCAAGTGCCAGGAAGAAAAGACCCCAAAACTTTGGACTGTAAAAACCAGTGGTAATTGTGGCTGAGTGACACAGAAACTGCTCGAATAGGAGGCATTCCTCTTAAAGGGCCAGAACATAGATTTACTCGGACTCACTCCCTCTGAGTTCCAGCAGTGGGGCAGCAGTTTGAGGGTATCCAGGGATATATGGGGAGGAGCTGAGCTGTCTGGCATTGGGGCAGGAACTCAGGGGCAGCTTTCTCTGACAAAAGTGCTGGGACCTTCTCTACAGAGAGCTGACTAGCTGGCGCCATGTCTCAGTCTCCATTAACCTAGCCCACACTGTTAACCCCACCCCGGTGATTCCCTGCCACCGAAGCCATTTCCAGTGGCTTATCCATACAACTGGCCTCTTGCCTCAGGCTTCAGACTTTCCAAAAATCTCTCAAACTGCAGATGGACTCAGTTTAAGACCAAGTGCCTCTTTCCTAATTTTAAGAAACAGAAAAGTATTGTTCTCTTTATTCAAGAACTAGCTAAACTATATTCATTAAAATGTAGGCTTGAGTTAAAACTAACAGTACCAAGTGGCATTTTAAGTACCCACTTGGCATCATACGTAGTTCTTTACGACGCTGTTGACTATATTCTCTATGCTGTACTTTACATCCTCGGGACTATTTTGTGACTACCAATTTGTACTTCTTAATCCCTTAACCTTTCTCCCCTAACCCTCCCCACAACCCCTCCCCTCCGACAGCCACTTGGTACTGTTGTACTAACTCATTTATCCATGCTAACTTTGAAAGCATACATAACAAATTAGAAAGTCCACAATCATACTATAAAATAAATGATTAATTACAAAATAAATACAGACCTCTGGTGACAATATGTCAAATTTATAGAAAAGTATACCGATTAAATACAAACACCTTTAATCATCTTAGTGCAAATTTCAGACTAACATACACTTTGATAGTACTTACACTTCATGAATATAATTTCAGTTCAAGAGAATAACATTATTAGAACAGAGAAAATTATTAAATCACTAGAGGCCCAGTACACAAATTCATGCACGGGTGGGGGTCCCTCGGCCTGGCCAGCAATCTGGGCCAATCAGGCCATCTCACCCAATCCCGAATGGGGCTGATCAGGCCGGCTGGCTGGGGAGAGGGATTGCAGGAGGTTGGTCAGCTGTGGGAGGTTGGCTGTGGGAGCACACTGACCACCAGGGGGCAGCTCCAGCATTGAGCAT